CTCAGCTGGAAGCTGGGAGGGAGGCGTCCCTGGCAAGTCCATCCAACATTCAGTCTGAAGCTGGGGGGGCGCTCTGACTCGGTGCCGTCCGGTGCAGAGAGGGATGCTTCTGTACCATCATTTCCATGCCTGTGTGTGTAGTGGGGCGGGGCGGGGAGGGGAGGCAGAAGGTGGGTACGCAGGCACGACACTCAGAGGACCCTTCTTCTGGGAGGGGGCAAGTGAAATAAAGTGTAGAATTCCTTCTTCCTCTGGGAGGGGGACAACTGAATACCCAGCCTCTTGACCCCTTCCTGGGCAATTAGCCTCCGCTTCTAGTAAATTCCATGATAGCTCTATCCCAGTGCTAATCCGAGCCTGGCAGTCACAGAATGCTTCCCAGAGAAGAACCCTTCAAGTGCAGACACAGGGCCCTGTCTCTGCAGCCCGCAGAGCTCCTGGGCGAGACTCCACGGGGCCCAGCAGGTGATTCCAGAGTGACTTCTTCAATGGGTCCTCTTATTTCCCACCACCACGGGCAGGCACACCCTTGCCTCCGGAGATGAGCTTGGGTTCGGCCTAGAGAGGGTGCTTGGGACCCTGAAGGAACCCGGACTGGTTCTGCCCATTTTCTGAGAGCCCCACCTTACTCTGCCTCCCCTTCCACACCCAACTCCCAGCCCCCCAGGGCACCCCCAGCTCCATGTAGCTCAGGATCGCCAAGACTGCAGCCCAGGCTGTAAACAAATAGTAACCACCACTTAGCTCCAATAGCCAAGCAGCCTCTGCTGGAAGACCTCTACCGCCGGGGACCCTGGACTGGCAGCCTTTATGGCCTGGGACAGCCCCTGGTGGGCCTCAGCTTAGCCCGTTGACCTGTCCTGATGGCAAATTCAGAGGGTGCCAGTCAGGGAGGGGTGTCTCTCCCAGTCTCAGGGGAAGGGTGTGGACCTGGTCTGCGTCTAGAACCACCTGGGATCCTTGGCCTGCCTGGTCTGTTCCCAGCGGCAGCTGGAAGGAGGGCAGAAGAGATCCCAGGGCTACTGGATGCCGTTTCACCCCGGCCCAGGCCACTGGCTTGTCCCTGGAGCCATGTGTGCAGTGGGGATCGAGGAAGACGGGGCAAAGGACAGCCAGCCCATTCTGCCTACAATCTGGCTTCCTTGGGTCTGGGCCCTCATGACGAAGGCTGCCCTTCTGAGAAGGCCTGCCGTGTGCCCGGCGCTGTGCTAGACTCTTGGCCTGTGCCAATTCCTAAGCCCAGAAAGTAAATGTGACTAGCCCACATGCAGATGCTGAAACCGATGTGGAGAGGCCACACCGCCCGGGAGGACCATGAGGCCCTGGGCTTCAGAGTGGCTCTCTGAGACCGATGCCAACTCTTGCTCACCCCGTTGCCCCCGGTGCCATCCAAGGCCTCCCTGCCACCCTCCCTTTGAGTGGGCTACAGCCCCCAGACTCTCACTGAAGCCATGCTCTACCTTCCCAAATCACCCCGAACCTCCCTGCCTACCTTTCCAGCTGTCCACTGTCTATCAGAAAGCAGGGGTGGGGGACACTGGGCAGAGTACAAAAGATCCTGGAGCCAGGAGAAAGACAAAGGAAAGACAAGATGGAGCAGCTGTTCGCAGGGGAACCTGAGACAGGCACATGGCTCGGCCCTCTAATCCCAGGCTCGTGTGGAGCCAGGGCAGGGCCCCCCAAGGTCAGGGATTCTAGGGATAGGCGGATGGGAGAGCTCTGACTCCGTCCGGGGATGGGGCTCCCTCTCCCCCAGGCCTCACTCCTCTTCCTGAGCCACGTCTCCTGCCTCTGAG